GACTGAAATACAGCATTCGTCTGCTGGTCACTCAAAAGAAGGTGGCACAAGGTGTTTTAAAAAACAAAGATAAAAAGTTGCTCTTGCTATTGAAGAAGCGAAGACGTGTGTGCATGCATGAGCACATACGTGTGCACACAGGGAAGTATGCAGAGGTAGAGTCTAGACCCCTGCCTCGTGAGGCCCCAGGTACCGCTAAGTCAGGTGACCCTTCAGCGAACGACCCAGTGCGTGCCCCTGAGGGTCTGTGGGTGGGAGAATGTTGGACACACCCTGCCGTGGTTCTGTCACCAGGGGTGGGGGCGGGGAGAGTGTGAGAAAGCCCCTGTGCCCCGGCCCGCTCGGCAGGGAACCCAGGCCGTGACCAGGGTTCCAGGTGGTCCTGCCACAGAGCTCTCCCCATCCCCCCTCCGCACACCTGACCCAGAGACGTGTGACCTGCAGCCATCCAGCTCTGCTTTGTTCCCTCTCTCACCAGGAAGACCGGAGGGAAGGGATGACGGCATTTGTGGAGAAGAGAAAGGGGAACTTCAAAGACCGATGAGAGCTGCCACCGTGGCCTCAAGCCTCCAGCTTGGAGGGGACACAGTTTCAGGGGCCAATAAACCCTCTGTCTTAAAGGGCAATGCGGGCAGCGTGTACTTCTTCCTCGGCCACCAAGTCCCCACCTGCGCTGCCTCTTCTTGGTCAGAAAGGGCATGTTGAAGCTTTTACCTGATTTCAGGAACTGAGGGACGTGCCAGGGCCACTGTCCCTTCGTGCAGCCGGACAGAGCACGTCCCTGGCTGGGCTGTGTGCTGCTGAGAGCCAGTGCAAGAGGCTCAGGGAAGGCCTGGCGGGTGACCCTTTAAAGAGCCGTGCCGATCGCTAAATGACAAGCTTCAGGTCACGTCACACCACCCCACTAACACGCTAGAGTCGGGTGTTCTAGTAGTTCTTCCAGCTTTGCTTTGTCATTATAGATGACGGCGTTCTCACGGGACAGAAGTCCTTAGAGTCAGCTGCCCCTGGCACACCAAGGGGAACCACTGTTAACAAGCATGTGGCTTTCTGGAGACATTTCTGTGCTCACACGTGTTCACCCGACTGCAAGCACACTGGTGTCTTCCTGTCTGGCACACTGTGAGCCTGCCCCTCCTGTTCGACTAGAACTTTATCGTGGTAAAATCCGTGTAACATAAAACCAACATTCGACCCATTTTTAAGTGTTCCCTTCACGGCATTAACGTGTCCACAGAGTGCAGCGGCCATCACCACTTCCCGGCTGCGTCCCCACCAGCCCAGCTCCCTCTACACTTTCTTCCAGCCTCTGTGAATTTAGTGGGATGTTTTCAGGGTTGTAACATGTAATGGTTCCGTTTCACCGCCAAACAGTGTTCCTACTGGCATTCCTCTAAGTGGCCCTGAAATGCTTCACGGTGTCAGTGCGTTGCCATCCACGTCTTCCCGGGCGTTCACACCTGGGGAGGCCTCGTGTGCCTGCACCGCACGCGGCTCCTTGTTACAGGAACTGAGGGACAGCCCTGGGGTGAACGTGGGGCACAGGCAGAAGAGTGGAGCACGTCCGAGGCCGAGAAGGGAGCCTGTGCTCGTGGGACTCAGACAGGAGGTCAGCAGGGCCTCGGAGCTGCACCAGCTGCATGTCCTGGGCAGGTGTCCAGCGGCCTGCGTCCCTGGCCCGGGTTCCAGCTGCGTGGAGGCCCTGGGATCCCGCAGCCTGTGTGGCGAAGGACGTGCCGAAATGGAACTGAGCCTGGTGGCAGGCACACTGAGTGCCTTTTGCGGTGGGACATGGAGTTTATGCACCAAGGTCCCCTGGTGGCTTCAGGCTGGAGGAGAGACGATGCATCGCACAGGACACTGGGTAACTGAGTGACCCTCGTCGTAGGAAAGCCCCTCTGCTCCCGCTGGACGCCTGCTGTTTAATCCCCACACCCCAGCGCAGCTCAGACCTCGGGACCCTCTGTCCTGCGCTAGGGTTCCCAGGGAACTTCCGGGGGCGGGGGCAGGCTGTGCTAGGGCTGCTGGGATGAGTCCCACGTCATCCTACTGCTGGGGAGGCCTTCACAGGTGAAGGGACAGCTACTGCCAGGGTTGGAGCCTCCAAGGTGAGGCACCCCGGGAGCCCCCCCAGGCTCCCCACACTGGCACACGTAGCAGAGCAACTCCCTGATGGGTCCCAGTGAGGCCCTGCTGGCTGCCACATGTCCCCCAGTCCTACCCTTGAGACTTGCTCTGTGGAGATGGCCCCACCTGTCAGGGCAAGAGTGGGAGCCACTTACAAAGCCAGGGCAGATCTCTGCAAAAGCAAGGACTCTGCAGTGACATGTATGCCTGGCCTGTCCCTGGAGCTGAGCCTCAAAGCCCTCCTCCCCAGGAGCCCACTGTCCCTGCAGCTCGGTGGAGCCCAAGAGCACCTGTTCCGGGCATTTCCTCCACCCTCGGGAAGCTAGGGGGGCAGGGAGTCCAGACGCCTGGCCCTCCGCATGGCGGGGGATGTGGGAATACTTACTGAAGCTGTTACAACAAACCCCAGGCAGGCCTGTCCAGGATACAAGCCGAAGTGATCTCACACACCTTGGGTTAATTGACTGCAGGCCCGTGTTTGTGTGGGGGTTCGATTTTTGAAGCTGAAACCTTCCCTTCTCATCTATATAAAATGGGCTTCCCCCTCACATGTTCGTGCTTAAAGGATGAAGCTTTGGGGAAGTTCATTGTAAGTCTCTCCACTTACATCCTGGAGTAGAAACGGCTCTGGCACAACCCCCAGCCAGGGTGGATTCAGCTGCTTCGGGCGGCCATGGTGCTGGCCCCGCTAACCGGCCTCCCCCGGGCAGTTCCGGAGTCCACTCAACCCCGCATGGCGGGACCAGGGCCGAGCGTTCAGGGCGGGCTGAGCACCAGGCTGGGTTTCCACTGTGGCTCCTCCACCAGATGAGGCTCCCAGGGCCCGGCTGGAAAACATGGAGACATCTTTGTTTTCTTCAGATTTTCTGACGTGGCTTTGTCATCTTTCACGTACAGGACTTTCCAGGAGCTGCAGGGCCTCAGAGTATGTCATGTCTCCACAGGCCGAAGGCCCTGCCGCAGCACTGGCCACAGAGCCCAGTGCCTCTCTGGGGACGAATTAGATGATGGTGGGCTCTGGAGGGGACAGCCCAGACTGGGCAGGCCCGTTTGGGCCCTGGGTTGGGCTGTTTCCCGCCGGGCAGGCAGCAGTGCGCACTCAGGTGGCAGCTGGGCAGGTGAGCAGGGCCACCTGCAGAGTGAAGCTTGAGGAGCCCAAGCTTGGAGGGGGGGGCCGAGGGATAGCCTATCCACAGCCTGGGCGGTGGGTTTGGGGTGGGCTTCTCAACAACAGTATGACCAGGCCAGCACACCTATGAGCACTAGCTCTGGTGTCTGCCCCCCGGCCTGAGTCAGGGGAGAAGCTGGGAGAGAGCAGAGACAGGGCTGCAGGCCAAGGGCAGTGTCCACAGGGCACGGGAGCCACCTGCACTGGTCAGATGTTGCTGCGTAAGAAATGACCCCGAAATTCAGGGCTTCACACAGCCATCATCAGTTACTCGTTCAGACAGTCTGTGTGGGTCGGGAGTCCAGACAGACCACAGTGGGTCTCAGTGGACGCTCCTGACCCCCCACCCACCCACACATCTGGCGGCTGATGCTGGAGAGAGCCCCATCTAGGTGCTCCTAGCTCACAGCTGGGTGTGGGGCCTACCAGCCCTCTGGGTCCCCTCCAGGCAGGCAGGTGCCAGCCCACCGCCTGGTCTCCCACTCCAGGACACAAGGGATCCGGTGAGCTAGGGGCATAATAGCGGGTTGGGGAGCCCTGGCCAGAAACACAGTGGGTGTCAGGGTCTTGAACCTGGTGAAGGACAAAGGCACTGAAAGATGCCTTCAGGGCTGAATGGGGGGTGTCGCCCCACCTCCCCAACCACAGCCTAGCCCCGCCCACCCTGTCATTAACCCCACCCGCCACCCACAGGCCCCGCCCCTTCCTCAGCAAGCCTGAGGAAGGTGCTGAAAGGTCCCCCTTGCTACTGTCCCTAGAGCTGCTTTATGCCCTGGCGTGCATGGCGGGGCATGGAGACAACATTGGTGAGCCAGTGAGGGGTTGGAGGGCGGGGGACAGATCCTCAGGAACCCCCACCCTCGGGGCGGAAGTCGGGAGAGGAGCGTAGAGGCGCCATGGGGGCTCCCCGAAGGGGCTCCTGGCCCACACTGTCCCCGGAGGGGGCGGGGGAAGCGGGGGTGGATAGCTCTTAGAGACGACCATAGGAATAAACACTAAAGTGACAGGTGCTGACAAAGGTGTGGACAAACAAGCTCACACACTGCTGGTGGGAATGCACCATGGTGCGGCCACTTCGGGGGCAAGTTTGGTATTTTCTTCAAGAGTGGAATGTGAGCTACCGTCCCACCTCGCCACTCCGCTCCCAGGCCTGTACCTACCCGGGCGACCAGAAAGGCCTGGTCCGCGCAGGACTGCGGCGGCAGACAGAACCAGCAGCGGTCCCCAGGCCTGCGTGGGTGGGTGGATGGATAAAAGGGGGCACAGCTGAACCCCCGACGCTATTCAACAGCAAAAGGGAGAGCCGATACGGCTGCTGCCATCGCTGTCCTCCAGCTTCGAGGGGCAGGCGGGTACGGCCGCCATGGCACCGAACATCTGCCGAGTGCCCTCTCTGCCGCGCTGAGCAGGGGCTGGGGTACCACGGTGACCCCAGAGTGACAGGCCTGCCCAAGGGAAGCTGACAGCCCTGCTGCCTTAGATACTGAACCGTGAGATGCCCGGCCAGAGGGGCGGCCCGGGCTCAGCTGGCCAGGGCATCTGTGCCCTGCAGTGAGGTGTAAGCGCGCGCACGCGCGGACACCTCTGAGTGGGTGTGAGGCTGCGAGGCCCGGGTATAGCTCCGGTGGGGGGCAAGCGCCGGGCGCCCCTCCCCCAGCCTGCGTCTCCCCAGCAACAGTAGCCTCGGTCTGGGGCTCAGCCCCTCCCCCGCCCCGCCCCAGCTGCCGCTGCGAAGCGTCTGGAACCGCATCCTTGCCCGGAGACCGCAACCCGCCGCAGCAGCCGGTCGGAGCCACCCGTGAGCCATTTCCACATTTCTCCCTGTGGAGCGAAGAGCGGGGCGGGGGGTGTGCGCAGGTGACTAGGTGCGTGTGCAGGGGTAGCAGTGTTGGGGTAAGGGGCACTGCGTGACCCGCTGGCCTGCAGGCCGAGCCCCGGGGGGTCCTTGCTCGGGGGCTCCGCTGACCTCAGCTGGGCTGTAGTCCCCAGGCCTCCCTGGCGACTGGGCCCCCGCGGGGCGAGCTGCAGGGTGGACCTTCCAGAAGGGTCGCGGTGTGTAGCCGCGCACCCGTCCCCCATCCTCATCAGAGTGGGGAAGCTCGGGTGGGTCAGGGCTGCTGGACATCATGCACCTCGCTCCGTGGTGACTGCAGCCCCCTCCCCGGGAGCTGGCCCCACCCCTGCAGATGTGAGAGAGCCCGCGGGAGCTAGGCATCCTGAGATGGGAGGGGGCGCCAGTTACAGGACCCCAGCTTGGGTGGGGGGAGTAGGGTGAGGGGAGAGGGGGATTGGCAGGGGGGCTTTTAACGTGCCACGGCACCGAGAAACGTTGGGGGCATGAGGACGGGGGTGCGGTGTGGAGGCTGGAGGCAACCTGGGGCAGGTAGGGGTGTTTCTCAGAACCACCTGCCGCGCACAGGCAGGCACGGATGCGGGGCCACAGGTGGCTGGTGCGTGGGAAGCCAAACCCATCTGAAGACCTGGGCCTCCCCCTACCCGCCCCCCTCTTCTGGGCCTCTGAGGGCTGGGCTGCTAGCCCGCAGTCCACCTGCCCTTGAAGTAGGATCCAAACGCAATCCCGGCCTGTCGGGGGAGGGGTGGGAGGGCACCAGGGTGGGGGCTGGGGGATCTGCTGGGTTTCGGCCAAGCTGGCGCGCCCCCTGAGCTCTGCAGTCACACGCACGCCTGTGCGCGCTAGTGCCGTGCGCGCTAGTGCCTGTGCGCGCTGGCGCGCACCTCTTCTGACGCAGCATCCCGAGTGGGGGGCAGTGCGAAAGAGAGCCTGTGACGTGACCTGCAGCCGAGCTTCGTGGGCTATCACTTAAGGGTCCGTATCCATCCATCCATCCATTCATCCATCAGCACTGACTGGCCGCTTATCCTGTGCCCCCTCCCCAAACCTCGGAGGAGAGGCCTGCACCGCCCCTCGCCCCAGGAGCCATCAGCAGGTGCGGAGCGGGTGGCCCACTGGAGAAGACGCAATTACAGCGAGGTGGTGGTGCGGCGGAAAGAGGCCGGTGGGAGGAGCAGGGACGACCCCCTCCCCCTTTCTATGAAGTTCTGTGTGTCACGTGAATGAGCTCCGCCAGCCTTTCCAGTGGGTCCCGTGACTCAGCAAAGGAAAGACATGTTGTGGGGGAGGGGTCCCCACATGCGGCCTAGCCCCTCCCCCAGCATTCTGCCCGGGTCCTGGGGCCTGGAACCAGTTTCGGAGGGTCCAGAGGCCCCCCAATGACCACTTTTCTTTACGGAGAGGAGTCATCGCCGGCCCACCTCTGTTGCCATAGAAACCCACCATGATGTAAAGTGGATGTCATGCTGCGTCAGAGGAGGTGGACCTTAGGTTTGGCTCAAAGGGGACGGAGCCTTATGGGGGTGAGAGGAGAGCCCCCTTCCAGTTCGTGGCCAGAACCTGTTCTGTAAACCACAGGCCGTGTGTTTGAACCACAGGGGCGTCAGCTTTGTGAAGGCCGCCCAGGGGAAGGGGGATGGAACCCCCCAACCTCCCCTCAATCTCTGGGCACTTGCTGTCCCCACATTTCACCATCCCTTCTCCTGCAGTCTCTCATGCGGGTCCTCATCCCCGCCCCTTTTAGGCGGGACCTCTCTCTCCTTCCTCTCGGGGGATGTGTTTCTAATCTGATCGCCTCTGTGACCACCTCTGCCTCACTGAACACAGCTACCGGCTGCACCGTCAGCCAGCCTGGGCCAGCGGGGGAGGTGGCCCCTGCCCTTCTAGGCGGAGCCCTGGCCAGGCCCTGCCCACCCTGTGGAGAGCCCCGCCCCCAGCCTGGGGGTGGTACTGGGGGTGGTACTGGGGGTGCTTTGTGATCTGTAAGGGCCCCGACTCAGGGCCCCAGGAGAACCTTCCTCCTCGAGCCCCTCTCTCCACGTTGCAGTGGTGACCCCGTACCTGTCCCTCTCTGCCCCTCACCCCCTCCCACCCCACAGGCCCTGCAGAGCCCTGACCTCCCTGCCCTGCGCCTCTCTGCTTCTCTCCTGGTCGAGTCTCCTCTGTTCCCACCCAGCTGCCCCACCCCCAAATGCTGCGGGTAGAGAAAGAGGCCACCGGAGGGCCTGGTGGGTGCAGGTGCTGGTGAGGCTGTCTGTCACAGGGAGAGCGTTTGTGGAAGGTCAGGTCGCCCTAGGACAGGGCTTTGGGGGTGGAGAGGCACAGAAGTCTGCGGGGGGGGGGGGGGGCAGACGGGCAAAGGAGGCCTGTGTTCAGAGGCCATTGGCTTCCTTGGGCCACAAATGGCCACAACTGGGTGGCTTGAAACAACAGACATTTATTTTTTCAGGGATCTGGAGGCCAGAAGTTGGAAATCACAACGTCGGCAGAGCTGTGCTTTCCTGGAGGCCCCTTCCTGCCTCTTCTAGCCTCTGGGGACCCAGGTGTCCCGGGTCTGTGGCTGCATCCCTCCATTTCTTCCTGTGGCCTCCACCCCCCGTGCCTGTGGCCAAGCTTCCCCCTCCTTGTAGGGACCCCGTCATGGGAACAGGGCCCCCACAATCCACGGTGACCTCAACTTGAGCACATCGAATTTCCGAGCAGGGCCACATACACAGGCGCCAGGGATCAGGGTGCAGGCAGAGCTCGTGACCCCACGATAGCCCTTGGTCCCTTTTGGGTTGCAAATACCTTCCTGCTCTCTGTTTTTGCTCTTTGAAGGCTATGTTTTGATGCGCAGAAGTTCATAATTTTAATGCAGTCCTTTTATTATGCTTCGTTATTGTATTGAAGAACTTATTCTCTCCATGAGACCAGGGAAATATTCTATATCATCTTCAAGACACTGCCCACTCAAGTTGACTTACTGAGACTGGGCTTCCCCTGTTCTGTGTGTGGTGTGAGGTGGGGATCGGGCCCAGTGTTGCCACCTGCCTTCACCAGGTGGCCGTCCCTCTTGCTTTGTGGCCCCATCTCTGTCATGAACCCATGGGCCGTGGGTGCAGGGTGTCACCTGGGTCTTTGTCTGCCACATCACCACCACACGGCCTAAACCCCTGCTTTGTGACAATCTGGGCACCCGCCCCGAGACCCCCTTGTCCTTCTCAAGACGTCAGGTGTGTCCTTCCTCTGACTTCCAAAGAAAATGACAGTGCTTGTCAAGTTCACACCAAAAAGGCCTGCTGGGATTTTCACTGGGATTTTGAGTCTGCAGATATATTTTAAGGGGAGTTGATATTTTAAAACATGAAACCTTCCAAAAGCCATGAGCATATCTTTCCCCACTTACTTAAGGAATTCAGGTCTCGTGTGGTCTCGGTCAGTAACGTCCCGAGTGAGTTTTCCATGGCTTTCTACGTGGAGGGCCTTCTCGTCTCTTACTACACCTGCTCCCGAGCACTTGCTATTCTGATGCTGTTCAAATAAAATCCACCAAAATTTTCTCTAATTTTTTAATATTTTTTAAATTAGAGTCTATCAATTGATTATGAGACAATTTTTCTATATATTTCCTAATTTTTGTCCAGTTATTGTGTCAGCTACTGAGATAAGGATGCTGAACACTCCAACTATTTTTTTAAATTTAATTTATTTATCTTTAGAAGGGAAGGGAAGAAGAGAGGGAGAGAAACATCAATGTATGGTTGCTTCTGGTGCATCCCCTGCTGGGAACTGGCCTGCAACCCAGGCATGTGCCCTGACGGGGAATCGAACCTCCATCTTTTGTTTCTCAGGCCCGTGCTCAATCCACTGAGCTACACCAGCCAGGGCCTTTTCTAATTTTTTGTCACTGATATGAATAGAATTGATTTCCGAATACCTTAAGTCCACCAGTGGGAGTGGGTGCAGGAATGTCTGTGGGTGACCTTTACTGCCTGCTGTGCTGATAGATTTTAACCCAGTGGACAGCCGTGGCCGGTGTGGCTCGGCGGATTGAGTGCCGGCCTGTGGACCCAAAGGTCGCTGGTTTGACTCCCGTTCAGGGCACAGGCCTGGGTTGCCGGCCAGGCCGTTTCTCTCCTCTTTCTGCCTGCTTTCTCTAAAAAACAAATGAGCAACACCAGTAACAAAAGCTGAACCTTATCAAATACTTTTTTCAGCTATGACCGATGAAACTGATGAGATGATTTGTCTTTTTCATTCTGTCCACATGGTGAAAATAGTAATAGTGTCTCAGATATTAGACTGAATTTGCAGAATTATCCCACCTTTTTTGACACGTGACCTGTATCTTGCTGGGTTCCGTTCGCTCCTGTGTCCTCTGGGGCTTTGCCCAGGTCTTTGTGGGCGGAGGCTGTGGCCAGGGTCTGAGACCCATGTGATCCAGCCTCATGAGCTGTTTTTTCGTTCTTTTCTCTGGAAGAGTTCTGTATGGAATTCGCGTTACTTCCTCCCAATGTGATTGGTACATGTCAGTGGTGACGCCGTCTGGGCCTGGCGTTCTTTGTTGGAAGGTTTTCACAACCGAGTCAAGTTCTCAGTGGACATAGGACGTCCCTTTTTTCTTTTGATTGACGGAGTATAGTTTGCTTTTTCAGTGTGGAGGTCATTTGCTGTGTTTCGCTGGAGATGGAATTGCCATGCCCCCGCCCAAGTCTCAGGGGCTTTTGCCCTCCTCCGGGCCCTGCAGACCCTCCGCCTCCCCGCTCCTGTCAGGGTCTCCAGCCCTGTGTGCATCGTTGCTCCTGCATCTGCGCAGCAAGCCTTGGGTTTACTCACAAAGTTACTTCTGTGACTCATGTTCCATCCTGCATCTCCAGCAGAGTTGCCAGAGAGAACGCAGGATGCCCAGTTAAATTTGAATTTCAAGTAGAAAACGAGTAAATTTTATTTTTTAAAAAAAGATTTTATTTATTTATTTTTAGAGAGAGGGGAAGGGAAGGAGAAAAACATCAATGTGTGGTTGCCTCTTGCACACCCCCTGCTGGGGACTGGACCACAACCCAGGCATGTGCCCTGACTGGGAACCAAACCAGCGACCCTTTGGTTCACAGGCCTGTGCTCAGTCCACTGAGCCACACCAGCCAGGGCGACAACAAATAACTTTTTAGAGATAGTACATCCTGAGCTGCAAATCTCGTAGCATGCACTTCCACTAACTAGCAAGAGGCAGCTGCACCCTTCTCGTCCGTGATTCAGATCTGACTGGGTGTGCTTATTTGTGGTGGCCAAGTCTGGCCACCGCACCCTCGGGCTTCTACTGGGGACTGTTTTCTGTTACTGGAACCACCACCCCTAGAAGGTCCTTAGCAGGTTGGCCGGTGGAAAACGTTGTCACTGTTGTGCGTCTAGGCAGTGGCTGGTCCAAGGTGCCATCCCCTGCATGACCTGCAGGGAGCCCAGGGACCAGGAAGGGACCGGAAGCCTGTGGCTGGGCCCGCCTGGCTCGTCCTAGGGAGTTTGGCCTGAACCCTCACAGCCGTCCCAGCTCTGGTGTGAGGCACGTTGGGGCCAGCCCTCCCTGGACCCTCTCTGTCCGGAGGCAGCAGGCATGGACATCTGCTGGGTGGCCCTGGCCAGTGACCCTGTGTCTGCTTCTGGACAGGACAGGGACCACCTCCCACCATGGTGAAACTGGGCTGGAGCTTCTCCGGGAAGCTGGGGAAAGACGTTGTGGCCCAGGACGGGGCTGCCATGGACAGTGTCCCTCTGATTAGCCCCCTGGATGTCAGCCAGCTGCAGCCGTCATTCCCTGACCAGGTAGGGTCTGGGGCCAGTCGGGGGCCCTTCTCAGCCCACATGGGAACAAAGGGGTGGGGAGTGTGGTTTATTTAGAATTAACCACAGGCCTCCTCCAAGGCACCAGAAACCCCAGGGCCGCATGCAATCCACTCTCTTGTCACCCAGGGCCTCCCCTTTGCTCATCTGTGAAAGGGGTGACCTGGCCACAGGTGACCAAGAGTTGACTCACTGCCTTGAAGACAGTACTCAGCACATGGCACTGCCCAGCAGGGGCTCAGCAAACAAAATCCCCCCCTCCCCTGCTGGGCACATTGTGGTAGGTCAAGCCCAAGACAGGGTCCTGAGGCAAGTGGCGGGGGGGGGGGGGGGTTTCAGCAGGAACCCTGGGGAGCAGAGCTCAGCATAGCCCCGCCTGGTCCCATGTGAGCGCCAGAGTATGAGTGGCATCAAGACATTCCTGGCTGGGGGGCCAGGGGGTGGCCATCTGTACCCAGGTCTATCAGCTGTGGGCTGGGGACCATGAGGACAGGCCCCCGATCCCCAGGCACTGGCTGAGTCTGCGTTTCCACTGCATCTACAACAGTTCCGGCTCTGGTTCCCGGTGGGAAAGCTCCGCCCTTGTCCCCAGGGAGCACACAGAGCACCTGCCTCTGCCCCCTGTGGAAGGGCCCTCAAGACTCTGAGAGCCAGAGAAGAAGTCGGGGGCAACTTCCTGGAGGAGGGAGCCAAGCTGTGGGGCCACAGGAGGGGAAGCTCCAGGCAGGGAGAGCCGGCACCCTCAGAGCTGATGGCAGTCGGAAGATGAAGGGGCTTCACCCATGGTCTGGCCTGGCGCCGTGGCTGCCGTGGACCCAGCAGACTTGCAGCATCCCCCTTCCCTTGGCCTCAGTCACAGGCACGGCCATAGGACAGTCCAGGCAGCTGAGCCCCAGCCCCCGCCCTTCCCAGCCCTCTCAACACAGTGTCCCCCTGGGCCATCTCTTTGCACAGGTGGTCATCAAGACCCAGACGGAATATGGACTGCCCTCCACGGGCCAGCTGAAGAAGTTCCCGGACCTGGAGGCCCAGAAGTTGGCTGGCACCAACTCAGAGGAAAGACATGGGGTAACCAAACCACCCCTCCCAGTGCTGCCCAGGGCCAATCCCTTGGGGAGTGAGATCAGGGCCAAGGTGCTGAGGCAGCCATGGGCGGTGAGCACCCAGGGCTGGGCCCCTTGCTCAGGCGCCTGCTGTCAGAGAACTTGGACGAGGACTTGGCCGTTCAGAGACAGGGTGGAGTGGGGACCAGGGACGGGTACTCAGGGGTGGGGGTGCTAAGGGACTGGGGGCTGGGCGGTGCCAGGCTGGCCTGTGGCCGGCAGGCCTGCAGCCTCCCCCTGCTGGACAGGGGTGACAGCCACAGTGGGCAGCATGGTACCTCGTCCTCCCTGTGGGCCCCCTCTCTCTCCCTTGGTGTGACTGGTTGGTCTTCCACACACTGTACAGTCACATTGCCTGCTATATACTCTGGCACATATCTTCTTCCACCCTTTTAAATTTTCTTTAAGATTTAATTTTTTTAGAGAGGGGGAAGGAGGGAGAAAGAGAGGGAAACATCAATGTGTGGTTCCCTTTCACACACCCCGTACTGGGGACCTGGCCTGCAACCCAGGCATGTGCCCTGACTGGGAATTGAACCGGCGACCCTTTGGTTAACAGGGCAGTGTTCAGTCCACAGGGCTCTCCCATCCTGTTTTAGCTCTTCACTTTACCGATGGTGACTGTTCTCATTTTTCCTGTACTGTTTCTAAAGCCTTTCATTTTCAGTAGTAAATCCTATTGTTTCTGAGATGGCAGCGACCCTGCCCCTAGGCTGGGGGTGGGGGGGCTCGGTGTTGTACGCAGCCCCACCCTGAGGGCAGCCCCAGGAGCCCAGGCTGGGTTCAGTGCCCCCCTAACTCCCATCCTCTCCTTGCCGGCCGGCAGATGCCCGCAGCTCGGATGATCGCCTTTGCCATGGCGCTGCTGGGCTGTGTCCTGATCATGTACAAGGCCATCTGGTACGACCAGCTCGCCTGCCCCGACGGCTTCCTGCTGCGGGTAAGGGGGGCAGGAGGCCCCAGGCTGGAGCGGGGCCCAGAGGGAGTGCCAGGCAGGAGCCCCTGTGACAGCAGGGGCGGGGCCCCAGGTGAGCCCGGAGTATCCCAGTGTCCTGGGGACCTGATCTCCAAAGTTCCTATGTCTCCATTACCGCCCCCAACACACGCAAACCCTCTTCTGAAGGAGTAAAGGAAAAGGTGTTATAGCAAGAGATTTTACCTTCCTGTGCCTTAGAAGTAAAGGCTGGGCCAGGAGGTGCAGCGGCTGGGGGGGCAGTGAGGGGCCGGTCAGCCCTCCCGGGCTCAGCACCTGCCCTGACCTGGAGGTTGGTCCCTTCCTCACTGACTCGGGCCTTGCCTGTATGGAATAGGACATCAGCATTTTCTGCATTGTTGGTAAACAGTGTCTCGTTTTTCTTTTTTTCCTCTTTATTAAGGATTTTTATCACTTTTAGTGTCTTTCTAAAGCCTCTGATCTGTCCGCAGTGGACTAGGCTACTTTCACCCTAACCCCTGCCTTTCCGAGACCACCCCCCACTAGGGCCTGGAGGGTTTGCGGTACTTCTCCCGGAGTCCCTGTCTGCGGTGCAGGCCCCACGCTGGGGTTTCCTGGGACTCACTGCCCCCCTCCCTCTGTGCCCTGAGGGGGAGCGACCATCCTGGTTCTGAGAAGGCTTGACTCTCCGTGGAGTCTGCCCTTCTGAATGGGAGGCACACCTTTGGGGGCTTGAAATTCGGGCAGAAACGAATATATTTAGGGCAGTGGTGCGAAGCATCCCCGAACTGCACGAAGGCAGCGGGGCGGCGGCCTGTAGCGGCCCACGAAGGTGGCTCCGCGTCTGGTCGGTTCCCTGCGTCCTCGCGCACCTGGGCCGCGGCGCCCGGGCCCAGCCCCCACCCCCATCCCCCTGCAGCACCGGATGTGCACCCCGCTGACCCTGGAGATGTACTACTCGGAGCTGGACCCGGAGCGCCACCGCCGCATCATGGCCGCCCTGGGCGCCTACCAGCCCAGCGGCAAGCCGGGCGCCGAGCTGCCCGCGCCCTGGAGGCCCAGCCGCCGCGCGGGCAAGGAGGCGCCCAAGGAGGCGCCCAAGGCTGTTCCCCAGGCGGGCACAGCCACGGCCACCGCGCTCCCGGGGAAGCCCGCGGCAGGTGGAGAGAAGGACCCTGTGGTGCCGCCAGAGGGGAGCGCGCCGCCCTCTGTCCCCGCCCCGCAGTGATGGCCCGCGCGCAGCCTGGCAGGTGAGCCCCGGAAGGCGGGTGACCTCGACCACCGCTCAGACCCAGAGACCCTCCTTCCTTCTGCTCAACCACCGCGCCCCCCAACCCTCCCCCCCCCCAGCCTTACTTGTGAATGCTGTCTGCCCGCCTGGCCCCTGGGGTCCCGGGAGGAGCAGAGGGGGCGTCAGGTGAACAGGGGGCAGGACCCTCCGCCCCGCTCACCTCTCCGTTGTCCCGCAGCGCCCCGACCGCGGCACCTGTGACCATCCCTCTGACGCCGTCCCGCCTCGTGGTCGTGCCCCATCCCCAGGACCCTGCTGATGCCCACCGCCCGGCGTCCCATGCTCTGTCGCTTTTCTCTAAGTAAAGATTCACATCTGCGCCCACCTGACCTCCGTTTCTCTTGAGCATGCTCGTCCCGCCGACCTTTCCTTGCCCTCCCCCCACCTGTGACCCCGCCGCAAGTCCCACCGCCGAGGGATCCCTGAACTATGGGGGCGGGGCCGTGAGCTGGGTCCCGGGCACCCGGTTCATGCAGACACGCAGAGAGGGACCCCTGCGCATCTGCCTGGGGGCCGGAGCTACCCGGGTCCAGGGCCTGTGGCTTCTCGGCGGCTACAGTGCAATCACCTCGCCTGCACCCATGGGAGCCTGGGGTCTGCCCTGGCTCCAGGCAGCACCACAGCTTCCTGCCCTGAGAGTTCCCCCAGATGGGAGGGGCGCGTGGGGTCTGCAGGAGGGGTGGGGGTGACGCCATTGCTGGGGCCTGGGAGGGCACCGCTGCCCCAGCACACCCCCCTTCCATGGCCTTGGAGAGGTCTGAGGGGCCACGGACCTCAGAGCTATCAAATATTCTCACCCATCCTGGCAGCTCGCATCCGGCAGCTCCAGAAACAGCCCCCACCATGGCAGCACCCCCACCACCTCTCTGCTTCTGGCCGTGGGGCTCCCTGGGTTTGCCCCAGCCTGGGCAGGCCGGACCTGTGTCCCCCTTGCCCCCAGCACCTGTCCTCCTCTGGTGGCTTTGATGCTGGGCCCAGATCCTCCACCTGGCGGGAGGTGAGCACAGGCCTCAGGACTGAGGGCGCAGGTTGGAGGTGGGGGTAATAGAGCCTGGGGAGCTCTCTCGGCCAGAGGGGCCGGCTGCTCGCTGGCTGCAGGGAAAAGCTTTCCTCTCCGCCCCCCATTCTTCATTTATTTCGTCTTATATCCATGTGACCCGTGGCTTCCTGTCTTATTCAGTGGTGACATCTGTGACTCTCGATGTTATTTTTACACTCACTGTGTTGCACACCTGACAGGCCCTGCCCTCCGAGGACTCCACACGTCTCTGGTACAAGGACGGTGCAGGCGTCTGTGCTGCCGAGAGCGGGCGGGGGTGGTTGTGCCTGCTGCTTCCAGGCGCACTCAGTGGGCAGGGCTGGGGGGTGGATACACGCGTGTACACACACACACACACACACATACGATCTGTATCTCCCTCCTCTCTGAAGGGAATCTGTGTGTGTGAGTCCATATACATTTGTAGACATGATGCACCTAAACCCCCACAGTGTGTCCACACAATGCCCACTGTGTGCATGTACCATATACAGGGGTCTCCACGAGTTCACAGTGAAACCCCAATCCCAGCCCCACACCTCAGGGCCAGTCCTCCCCCCCTCCCCCCCGTGGGGGTGACGCCCCTCTCCCACTGGAAAAACCTGGTCCTGCTCGTCCTGCGCATGCTCACTGGCTCAGTCTGATGCATTGGAGCTCCTTTCGGAACAGGTGGCCCACAGCCCCGGACAGCAAGCCCACAGCCGGAGTCTGTGTGCAGGTGTCTTTAATCTGCGCCTGTGCAGCTCCATCTCATGCTCCATCCTGAGTCGTCTGGGTCTGCGTGGCCATGCCACACCTCGGAAACAGTGCAGTCACTTTGCTCCACTTGAGTGTCTCTCCTCCATCCCTGTCGATCTTACTCTGTCATTTTTAGAATGTAAACACCCTGACAACCTGTTTTCCAACGCCCCAGCACCGGTGAGAGTCCTGCAATCCCAGGCTGACACTGACCTCCCAGAAAGGAGGGCTCAGCCACACCTGAGCCACCGCTCACACAGTGGGGTCCCAGCCCAACGCACTTCTGCCTGCCTGAGCTACATATTTGGTGGTCCCTTCGGATCCGACAACTCCATCAGGTGACTCAGAACTCAGGAAAGCACCACTTCCCAGATGGCCAGCTAGTTATAAAGGATACAGCTTGGGGACAGCCAGACGGAAAAGATGCAAGGGTGGGGGCAGGGCCCTTGCTGCCAGTGCCCCCCGCCCCGTGCGCCCCTGCAGGAAGCTCTCCAGTCTCCTTGACCCAGAGAGAGGCGCCCACATTCTCAGGCCTTTGGTCCCCATGGCCTGAGACAGCCCCCGTGGGAGGCTGTCGGCTGCTGCTGAGTCAGGCATGATTACAAGTGCAGCATCAGCTCAGGCGTGATTACGAGTGACCAAAGGCACCCACCCCATCGCTCAGGAAATTCCAGGGTGTTTAGGGGCGCTGTGCCAGGAACCAGGGGAAAGGCCCAACCCGCCTCTCGCCATGTCCAGTTCACTCAGCAGCCTGTGCTGGAGATGGTCCCATGCGCAGAGGTCCCCTCCTCCGTTCCAGGGCCACCCAGCGCCCGCAGGCAGCAGAAGCACCCTAGTTTCGCCACAGTCCTCCTACCTGAGGCCATAGGCTTGCTCCTGCTGGTCTGCAATACACGCACTGCCGCCAGGAGGAATTTATGCTCATCTGTTGTTGCGGATCCACCTTCAGGGCCGAGTTCCTAGAAGAAGCATGGCTGGCTACATGATTTAAGTTTATGAGGTTGTAAAATTCTGTAATTGCAAATTTAAAACCAGCTTTTCTCAAGCTTTAAAGCTCCTTGTAAAAGCCTATTTATAAGTACATCTAGCAACTCTTGTGTCGCTGTTTCTTTAGAGAACATGCTCTAGAGTTGTTAAGACGTTTCACTGACGTGACAACCCTGATTAATTTGATTCCCTAGTTATTTCATACGCTAACCATCGATGGACAGGTCTGACCGTCCTAACCGCCTGGAATGTGCAAGGCTGCAGACCTCCAAACCCGCCGCGCAAAAGCTCTGTGGGCAGTGAGATCTCAAACTGAAATTGATGCACATTCCAAAACTAAAGCCCAAGGTTGTTGAGAAAAAAGTTACACCACTTCCAATTAAAACACGTCCCAGATGCCACATCCTCCTAAGATGCCACCGAAGCCGAGGCTTCGGTGGGAAACAACACGAATTTGCGAGGCTCCCACCACCTCTGGGAAGACCTCAGGGAGGCTGAGAGAGCAGGGCTCCACACCCTCGCTCCCTCTTGATGCCTGTCACCTGTCACCTGTGACCGTGGCGACACCCAGAGTCCCACAGGGGGACAGGCAGTGCCCCTGCTGGTGCTCCTGCTGACCTGATTGTGAAGAGGCTGTGGGCGTGACCAGGGTGAGGGTGTGGAGTGGCCCCGGCCAGGCCCCTGCGGTGAGAGTCAGGCTCGTTTTGCAGCCTCTGGGCGTCCTTTATTTTGTTTACACTCAAACTGGACAGAAGCCTCTATAAAAACTCCCAAGCCAGATGCTCTGCAGTGGAACCCTATGCAGCTTCATCAGGTGGCCTGCAAGGGTGACAGGGATGGTGCCACCAGAGGACACAGGCCAGGCCGGCCACCTGCTGGCAGTCCTGTCTCAGCCTCAGCCCTCGGGGGAGGCAACTCGGAGACACTGCAGGGTGCTCACCTTGGGTCTCCTTGGCAAGGGGTGTGGTGTGGTACTGTTGCCAGTGGGAGTGGGCACGTTCATGGGATCGTGAGAAAAGTATTTCATGGACCCACATGTGGGAGACTGTGGCATGGCAGAATTTATTCACACCGTCCCTGTGTCCCATCTCTGTCAGTCCTGCATGGAAAAAGTCCAGCTGTGTCCAGCGAGGCCGAAAGAGTGTCTGTGTCACGTTAAAGTTTAGCCCTTGGGCTCCCACAGACGGCTGCCGAGTGGTCTCAGTCCCCAGGTCGCCTGGTGCTGCTCCCGGCTGTGCTGCTGCACCGAGGCGCCTGCCTGGGGCCTGCACTACGAACGCACAAACCAGTACGGCAAGTGCAGGTCACTGAGCGAGAGGGTGAAAGAGTGGGAGAGCCAGTTTCCAGGAGCTTTTTTAAGATTTTATTTATTTTTAGACAGAGGAGAAGAGAGGGAGAGAAACATCCATGTGTGGTAGCCTCTCTTGTGCCCCAGGGGACACAACCCAGGCATGTGCCTAGGAATTGAACCGGCAACCCTTTGGTTCCCAGGCGGCGCTCAACCCAGAGCCACACCAGCCAGAGAGGCCCGGGAACTTTTTCAAAATACCCAACTTCCCAAGCTTTCACAGGCTTCTGATGGGTCCACCCCCTACCTCCCTAGCCAATCGATGGCTTGCTCAGGCCGGACTGACAGGCTTCTATTGGCTAGCACCTCCCCTGCATCATTTGACTTCTATTGCGCATGTGCTCACCTCCACTGGTTCCCTATTCCCCCATCAATCCGGTACCAGAGTGGAAAGGAGAGGTGTTCACCCCTACTGGGCAAGGCCGCGGTCCCCTGGGGTGTGAGGCTGTGGCTTCCTGGAGAAGCGAACCGGCTCCTGCTGCCCAGCCCCTTTGGCTCAGCAATGTGCAACTCGCCGTGCTGCCCTCCTTGCGGACAGCTAGCTAACCACCCATGCCGACAGTGAAGGCTCCTGGAGTCTCCTGAAGACGGTGTGAGAGCTGCCAAGGCTTTGGTGGTGCGAGAGAAAGCGTTCACAGTGGAAAACGTGACTCTCGCACAGCGCGTCCGGGGGACCCGACGGCGCGGATGGTGGTTTCAAGGAGAACAGGAAAATTCCGTGTACTCATCCGAGACCCTGGATCGTCGGAGGCCCACAGGCACAGTGGCACAGGGGGCCGTGGCCTTGGGCCTGGCCTTTCACTGGTCAGCCCACTGCAACCTGTTGGTCCTTCAGGAGCCAGCTTCAATTCACCCTGCACCTCCTGCTGCCTTCCTCACTTCCCGTCACACCCTGCACTATTCACCAAGTCACAGCCCTCAGAGCCCTCGTCCTCAAAGCCGTTTCAAGGTTAACACTTGAAAGTCAGGCAAACACTCACTAAGGTCCAGGCCCAGGGACACAGGGACAGGATCCAGGAGGTGGACGGTCCCTGGCACAGTGGGTCCCTGGCGGCACAGGCGCCCAGGAAGGAGCTGTAGGAAGAAGAAGGGTGGGGAGCCTGGGGCTTGGGGGTCAGAAGGAGGCCAGTTCCCGTGTGACTTCACACCTGTGCCATGGTGCTCAGAATCTCCAGAACTGCAGGTCCCTGTAGGACTGGGCAGGTCACATTGAGGGTCACAGGTCAGGAAGGTCACACCAGAAGACACAGGCCCAACCCCAGGGGAAGGTCACCCATGAGGGCGGCTGGGAAGCTGTAGGAGTTGCCTCTGTTGGTTTGTGTGTCTGCAGCTATTGGAGGCCTGTGCCTGGGGCCGGAGGGCAGCGAGGGTCAGTTTAGGACCCTGCAGGCCAAATAGTGGACGGAGGCAGCAGAACCACAGAGCGGCTGAGCCAGTCTCGCCAGCACTGAGCCTGGCCATGGTCCAAGGGTCCCAGGGGAGACAGGGACATCTGCCCAGCGCTGGACTTCAAGTCTGCTCGGACATCTCCTGCCGACTGCTCATTCACTGATGGGTAAACTGAGGCCCAGGCCAGAGCTCCAGGGTCACCCCTCACCTCCCAGGTCCTGCCTCTGCTTGGGCTGGGGTTCTCTGGGGAGAGGCATGAGGTGGGAGGCGAGGGGTCCTGCTCCCTGCAGGTGCAGCACAATGAAGGCCATGCAGCTCAGAGACAGCACAGCCGGCAGCTGCTCCCTGCTCTGCCCCCCCAATGTCCAGAATCGATCCTCGGTCACCTTGTAGGGGTGCCATCTGTTCCTGTGGAATGATCGGAGTCCGAGGTGAGGACAAGGATGCTGGCACTGCTGCGTTCAGCTTGGGCTCCGGGAGGTGGTGTTGAGCCCCAGGCGCACCCTCCCCAGGAGGGGGATGGAGACAGGCAGGGTCTTCCTTTCAGGACCTGGGGCCACGGCAGGGCAGGCAGGGTGCACTGGTCTAGAGGCAGCAGCCAGAGACACAGGCCTGTCAGGGTGTCCACACTGCAGGCCTCCCCACTCCCACTCTCCCGTTTCTGGATGAGGACTGCTCTGCTTGGCAACCCACAGGCTCTGGCACCGAAGGCGGGAGCTCGGAGTGGGGGTGTGTCTGTGCCCAAGTCTCTAGGGGTGAGCTCGTCTCCACGTCCGTGTCCAAGAGCGAAGGGCGGTGCTTGGAGGAGCTGCTCTGAGAGGGAGCCCAAGGGTGGTACCTTTGGCCCCTGGACACTGGCCATTCAGACAGGGTCAGTAACTATGTCCTCGGAGGGGCAGTCCAGTCCTACTGGCACCCGAGGGCTTTTAGGTGAACCCACTCCTTCCCTGGCCTCTTCTCAGGGAGTTTGACCAAAGTGCCCCCCCCCAACCTGTCAGGCCAGAGCAGGACACTAGGTTTGATGGGCTGATGGCAGCCACCTCTGCCCTAGAGCAGGCCACATAGGGGCTGCAGGCCGCCCGCTCCCCATGCCGAAGCAGAGGTGAGAGGCTGTGCACCAGCCAGGCCCCCCATCGGCATGTCCACAGTGCAGCCGGGGGGCAGCCGCAAGTCCGACACGAGGCACTGCCCAGGGTCCTCCCGTGGTCCCCTGGGGCTAGCTTCCGGTTCCCTCCAGCTGCACAGAGACGTACTGGCAGAAACACAGGCCGGGCTGCAGGTGGCTCCGAGCTGCTGTGGCATCCCCACAGGGCGGGAAGTGCGCCTGGACCAGGCAGCAGGCGTAGGCGCAGGAGAACCGCAGCAGGGCCTCCTGGAACAGGGCCTCGCCCTCGGGGGCCGTGAGGAAGGCCTGCCGGCAGTCCTCCAGCCGTACAAACACGAAGGACAGCTGGTTCAGGGCCTCACAGCCCATCAGCACGGAGTGTGGCGCCAGCAGCTGGTTGGCCTCCCCCACCCTGAGGACCAGCTCCTGCATCTTCTTCCTAGAAAACCGTCTGAACCAACACAGGGTGTTAACTGCTAAGATGATGAGGAGGAGGCCTAAAAACAGACAGGTGGTGGCTGGCAGGAACTGCCGACCTGGGCTAATACGTTGGATACAGGAAACAAAAACAAGAAAGAAAGAAACCATGGAGAGAAGAAGGAGAAAGATGCCGAGTGGGACCCTGCAGCCTAGGTACCGGAGGCAGGACCTGGGGGACTTTGCCCCGTTCAGGATGCCCACGGCCTGCTTGTACACCTCAGGGTCCTGCAACACCTCCTTCAAGGGGTCTGGGACACCCAGGGTGCTGAAGGTCCCCACCTTCCAAGAGGGCAGGCTGCTCCTGTTGACGCAGTTCATGGTCAGGAGGGTCTTCCCACTGTAGAGAGCAGGGACGGGGTGCCGGCCAGGCAGGGAGTACACCATGCGGTGTCTGGGCGTGCACAGGAGCCGCACCACCTTGCTGTAGAAGCTGCTGTCCGTGGCCTCCAGGTAGGTCAGGTGGCTGAGGTGCAGTGGGACCTGGCAGGGCCTCAGCAGGACGGGGATGACCGGCTTCCTTTCCAGGCAGTAGCCGAAGAGGGAGAGGTCGGCCTCGAGGAGGCACCACCGGCTCTGCACAAAGTCCTGGCTCAGCACCAGCAGCACCTTCTGGCTCTGATGGATGCACTCGGCCATGTTCTCCAGGACGTTCCTGCCTGGGGTGAAGTCCCTCTCATGCAGGCAGACCCTCAGCCCCGCGTGGTCGGCTTCCAGGCGGCCGATGAGCCCGTGGGTCCACGTGGCGTCCACGCTGCTGTAGCTGACAAACAGGTGGAACCTCTCGTCGGGCCCCAGTGGGGGGATGGCTGGGGCCACAGCTTCCTCCTCAGAGCTGGAGCCCATGGGGGCTGCCCCTGAGCTGTTTCCGGCCTCCCGCCGAGAAGACCACCCTCAGGCTGCAAGAGATCAGGACAGACAGACTGACTATGCAGACTGACAAGGCAGACCCTCCATAAAGGTGGAAGAGGGTCCAGAACCCGAAGGTCCAGACACAGACAACCCTGTGACGTCCTAATAGCTGGCCTGAGCCCCCCAGGACAGGCCCGTGACCACCAGCTCCCTGAATGGCTGCTTCCCTTTCCCACTTAGGGCCCACTGGAGAAGGCCGGGTGCACCCTGTCCGCTCTCCAGGTTCCCCAGCCCAGGCTCCATGGGCCCTGCCTCCCTCGGGCGCACCTGGAGGCCCTGGTCCCCTGCTAGCCTTTGGGTCTCTGCCTAACCTAGAGCCACGGGCCCCTGCTATCTGCCCCTCCGGTCCTTGAGACATTTGATGTTGAAAGGACTGGGCCACTTGAAGCCACACTTTCCAGCCTTTCTTTCCCTTCAGATGTGGTCATGGGGGGTTGCTGTACACTGACCTTTGTGCCCCCCGCCCCGAGTTTGCATGTGGAAACCCTAACGCCCAACGTGACGGTGGTAGACGGGGGCTTTGGGAGTGATTAGGTCATGGGGCAGGGCCCTCACGATGGGATTAGTGTCCCTATAATAGGGGCCCCCCCAGGAGCAGCCCCCCGTACCTATCCCCTGCGAGGGCACAGCCAGCCGGGACCAGGAGGCGGGTCTCCCAGAACCCGAGTGCGCAGCACCCTCTGCTCAGGCAGCCTGCAGAGCCATGAGAGACGCTGTGTCTGCTGAAGCCTGCGGTGGCTGGTGGGAGTGGGAGGGAGCGCACCCAGACGGCCCCTCTGCAGCACTTGCGCCTGCCAGAGAGCACTCCAACTTTCTCGACGTGGACCCGTGCGTAGAGAGCCTGCTACTCGAACCCTGTGAGTGAAGAGCAGAGCTTGGACAGCAGCGGTTGGGGTGGGTCTGCTCCTTTCCCCGGCACTTGGGGCAGGGGCTTGCTCATGCGCCAGCTGCGGTGGACCCAGGAAGCGGTCATAGGGCCTGCCCCACAGACAGGAAGCAGGCTGTGACCTCGGTCTGCTAGGTGGCGCCCAGCTGAGAACCCTCCCCACTTGGGTGGGCAGCAGTGGGGTCAGAGGAGGGCTGGCCAGCCCTGCAAGGCCCCCATGCTCTCCGACCACTGCTCTGGGAATGAAGGAAGAGGGGGTTCACTTCCACAGAGTGGCCCACCCCCGCCCGCTCTGCCTGGCACCTGCACAGGTCGGGGTGAGTGGGGGACAAGGAAAAGGTGTGCCCCCTTAGCCCACCCAGCATGGCCTAGCAGCAGTCTTTGCAAGAGCCCACCATGCCCACCCTTCCTGCCCAGCGAGCCTGTCTACCTAGGACACCACTCCCCTGACTTTCGTCCCTTCCGGGAGGTGGCAGATGAGCGAGACTCTGAGGGACAGGGTCTCCCCGCACCCTCTGAGTGAGTGAGGGTGGGCGATCGTCGGCATCCTCCCCTGTGGCAGGAGCCCGCTGGCCCCAGCCTTCTCACCCGCTCAGGCAAGGTCTGGCACCAAGCACCAAAAAACGTCACAGGTTCCCAGGCAGCAGCACTGGCAGTCCTCAGGGGCCAGGGGCAGCCAGGGGCCCTCCCTCAGAGAGAGCTGGCGAGCGCCACTTTCCAGAGGCTGAGACTAAGGAGCTGGAAATGAAACCAAAAGTGGAAGGGGGAGGGGGCGGGGTGAAGGGTGGAGCTTGACCGGGACAAGGGGCAGACAGGCAGGGTGGCGGGCATCCTGGAATCTGCTGCTGACACCAGGGCTCGGGCGCTGGGGTCCCTCGCATGGGAGGCTGCAAGAGGAAGGGTGTTGGCGACGGGGAAACTCCGGGAAGGGTGCAGAGCGGCAGGCCGGGCCAGGATTGGGGTGGGAGGGACAGTTCCAGCCAATGGGTGACCCTCTCCATGTGGCCACACCCTGGGCCGAAGGCAGGCAGCAGTCTGTGGCTCACAGCCCTCTGGTTTGCCCAAACCCACTTACAGCCAGTACCTGGTGCCTTCCCCAGTTCTGCTCAGTAAGTACTCAAGAGACTGGCCATCTGTGTCCCTCTGGGCCCTGCCTCCAGCGGAGGCTGATGGGGGCCTGGAGTGATTGTGCCTGTAGGAAGGGAGGGAAGCTGGCCAGGAGGGAGGGGGCAGGGGTGGGTTCAGGGGAAGGTGTCTCTGCCCTTTGCTTTTGCTACCTGCGCCCAACAGTGGGGCGTCCTCTCCTCGGGGCAAGGCACGAGCCCCAGGGCGGGCAGCCTCCAAGGCTCAAAGGTGCAAAGCCAACGACGCTAATTTCAGAATTGATTTTAAAAACTGACCTGTCTTTTCAAAAAATGCAACATATTCCAAACAGAAATAATCAATAGAAAGAGTGTCCAACTTCCAAAATACGGGTAGGGAAATCATTATTATTTTTAAATAAGACTAAAGAAAATCAGGGTAGGAGAAAAAAGAAGCAAAAACAAAGGAGTAAATAGAAAGCACAGAAAAGATCACACAACTAAATCCAAATACATCGGGGATTGTATTCCATATAAAATGTGTTTGATATCTCAGTGAAAACATGGAGATTCTCACGTTGGCTAACAAGTAAAATTAAACTACATGCCGTCTACAAGAGACCTGCCTTCAACACGGGTGACAGAAAGGTCCTGGCACTGGATCTCTGGGGTCGCTGCGCAGCATGGAGGACGCGTCGGGGCAGTTAGAAAGTCGTGAGCAGGTACAGGTCACCAGGGAGCAGGAAGCCCTGCAAAACTGGGAAAACAAGTACCTCACCCCAGGGCGCCTTTCCTCCCCTAGCGTAGGGGCTGGCCACGTGGTTAGACCACCTTTGAGAGGGAACTAGAAGGGACCAGAGAAGAGCCCTTAAGCACGAAGCCCGCAGGACGAGGAGGTTCTGACCCATAGCAACCATGTCTAGGCCTCCACTGTGTTTCAGCTCCAGGCCCAGAAAAGCAGCAAAACCAGACAAGTCACTCCACAGCTGACTTGCGGCTCAGCTGTGATGACCAAGGACCCCTGGTGCCAACCAGTCAGTGGAGACCGGACCCTGGAAGGACACACCTGGACAGCTGATGACCAGTCTGTTGAGACCCTCCCCTGGGGTCACCCCTAAAATCCACACCCTCAGGCCAGAGGGCCCAGAGTGGCCTCCCTCCCTACAGCGGTCAGGAGCCTCCCCCTCCCCACCCCACTAGCCAGGCGCCTTCGCCCTTCTCGCTCCCCAGCTCCCAGGGCCCTTCCTTGGCCTCTGTGACTTGTTGTCTGAGCCTGTTTCTTCTCCTCTGTGACTTTTAAAATAAGCTTTCTCTTGTAGATCGAGTCTTGGCTCTGAATCCTCTCTTAGCCAGGGCTCCAGTGCCGAGGCTGCCCAACCGAGGTCGGACTTGACCCCCACCCCTGGTCTGACTCCTGGTGCCATTCTCGCCTCACCAACAGATGCACTAAAAACCGCTAAAATGTTTACTGTAAGGTGGTAAATTTTACGTGTATTACATCTCAACTGAAGATAAAAACAAGATAGCACAGGAGAGGGAAGTTAGTGGAGCCCACTGGTCACGGGAAGCTGAGGGCCAGCCCTGAGCATGTGCACTGGAGCCCGGGAGATGCAGACCTGGCAGATGCCGCTGAAGTCCAGGGAGAGGAAGCGCCACCTGCTGGAGCTGAGCCGGCAAGTCCCTCTGGGGCTTCGAGTGTTCTGTTAGCACAGAGCCCAGAGGGCCCCTCCTGGGCTGGGCTGGGGCTCTCCTCCTCCTCCTTGCTGGACCCTCTAGGTCTGGAAACACACCCCCAGGCTTGGCCCCCACCTACCAGCCTATCTGTCCCGCTCCATCCTGCCCTCGAATCCTGTCTGACCACTCCCTCCCGAGGTTGGTGGTCACCTCTCCTTCCTTGTCATTAAGGCTGGACTGAATGACCTCCACCCGCTGCTTCCTGAACCTCTTTGACCAGGTTCTGGACAGCCGTAGGCGCTGCAAGGGGTGGGTGGTGGACCTGCTGCCTGCAAGACCCAGAACTGGCCCCTCCTCCTCTGCACCCCTCACACCCACAGCCACGGGCACACCAAGTCCTCCGCCCCCAGGACCCCCGCTCTGCCAACCCTTGGTTCCCTCTCACTCCGCCTCCGGGACCCGGGTTCAGCCTCCGTGTGAGGTCCCACAGCACCTCACCCTCTCCCCAGCGGGGGGCACTACATCCCAGCTCACTGGCCCTGCCTGGTGGGGCTCCACAGGCGGATGCGGTGTCTGTGCAACTGGCCCAGCCAGCCCTCCTCTGCCCACCACACCGAGCGCTCTCTCACCTTCAGCACTGAGAAGCCCCGGCTGCGGGAGCCAGGCACTCACTTCCTGCCTGTTCTCAAGGCCACAGCACAGTGGGCCTGTCACGTGCTGGTGGGTGGCACAGTCAGCTTTCTGCCAAGCAGGGATGCTGGGCATCGGGCTGTCCTCCAAGGGTGGGTAGAGAGTGTGCTGCTCACAGCCCAGGCCTGCATGGCCAAGGTCGTCTGGGTCACTCAGGGGCTGGGTGTCCTCACCACCACAGCCTCGGGGGGGGGGGGGCGGAGGAGGGGAGGCTCATGATTGGAGTGTCCCTCTCAGTGTTGCCTCCTGGTCTTCTGTCCTGGGGAAGCCGCTCCAAGGGTTCCTCCGAGGACTCAAGGGTGTCTATGGCTCTACCAAGGTGCCACACGGACAGCTGTGGCCTGTGTCTGAGTGTGGGACCGACATGGGGACGGGCCAGGGCTGGCCGTGAGGTGAGAAGGCAGGAGGAAAGGTGAGGGGCTCCTTGTCAGTGGGCCTCAGCACTGTCCTGACACACACCTGGGCAGCTGACACTGACCGGGTGGGCGGCAAGGCGGGGACCCGTGAGTCTCAGCCCGACTTCAGAAAAGCTGACGAGCAAAGGCTGGTCCTGCAAACTAGCCTGGCGCGGCGGCTGGAGGGGACCCCGGCACAGCAGCTCCGGGGCAGGAATCCCAGCCCGTTCCGACATGGCTTCACCTCGGCAGGGGTGGGGGCGTCAGCTACAAAGGGTGCATACAGCCCCTCGGAGAGCCTGGCCGGTCAGTGCTGTCTGTGAGGCCCAGTGCCCACCGCCCTGTGGCGTTTCTGGGTCTTCCCCAACACCCGCAACTCAAAACACGTCCACCTCCTGTGATGCGGGCCCCACCAGACATGAAGGTGAGGTCGGTTCTGCAGGATGCCCCCCCCAGGGACTCTCTGCCCAGTGCCTGGTGAGGCACCACCACTCCAGGCCACCTGCTTTGCACTCCAGCCCAGATTTGGTCACTGATGTGCTCTCGGGAAGTCAAAGGCCCAAAGGCCAGGTATGTGTCCAAGGCCGGCACCTCCTTGCTGGCCACCCATGCCGCAGCCACTGGCTCCTGGGTCTCCCTCCTGGAGCAGGAAACGGGGTGAGACGTGAACCCCAGCATAGGCTGCACAGGTCCCAGCCCAGGGCTGTGACCCACCCCACATCTGCTCTGCATCCATCCAATGTTCCTTTTGCCTTCTTCCAAACAAGAAACCGGCTCATACAGGAGAGAGAAAGCCTGGTGGGAAATGAGGGGCTGTGAAAAACTGTGTCAGGGTGCCCCGGCCTCCAGCAACAGGTGCAGGTAGGGCTGCCCAGGAGCAGTCGTCCCTGCGGTCCGAGTTCAATTCACTAATTTGCTGTGGGCTCGGGTGTCCCCTTCTTCCTGTATCGTCCCTAAAACGGGTTTGGAAACAGGCCCGGCTTTCGGCCACCCCCTCTGGGCCAGGAGTGGGGTTTGTGGTGCTGAGCTGGAGGGGCGGAACAGGGCTGGGCCCTGGCCTGGACTGCTTGGCTACCCAAGACCAGCGGGCGCTGAGCCTGGCTCCACGGGCCCCGCCTGGCAGCCCAGCCAGGTGCACAGCTGGCTGCTCAGGTGACCAGTAGCAGCGCCCCCCACACACAGCTTCTCAGGGCTGTGAGGTCACCGTTCCCAATCAGGCTGTGAGGCCCCACTGGAGCCAGAGCCGCACCGTGCCCACCTGGCTCCGTGGAGAACGGGCTCTGAGGCTGTGTGGACCTACCAGCTCAGGGTGCTGGGGCTGCCTGTGACGTGACGCTGGCCCGCATCCACGACAGAAGACTCAGTCTTGCTCCTCCTTAAAGGAAATCAGCAGTCGTGGCCCATGGGCCTCATGTGGGATCAGAGGCGACCCCACGTAGGCTGCACCCTCCCTGATCATCAGAGGAAACTAGCTCTCAGCCATGTGTCCGGGTCCGGTGAGGAAGGGCCCAAGTTGGGTGGCCTTTGGGTGTCCTGGAGCAGGATTCCGGAGGACATATTTATTAAATCAATAAATGTATCCTCAGTTGAGGATTTTTAAAAAATTGAAAGCTACTATAAGCATAATTTTTATTAACAAACTTCAGGTGTACGTACAAACCCAAACCAGTGCTGTGGTTTCATCTGGCTCAGGATGCTGAGGGGATACATTTCTGACAAGTGGCCACTGGCAACATCACCATCTGAGCTGCTCACCCCTGAGCTGCTCGTCAGGGTTGGTTTTCACCACAAGACTCGGTCCTTGGATAGTGGCACCTGAACTCCCAGAGCCCCTGAGACTGGCACCCAACCCAAAACCCCAGGGCAGGAAACCCCACGCACAGCTGGGGTTGGGGGCAGAGCCACTGCCCGCTCCCAGGAGGCCAGAGCCAAGTCCTTTGCCCAAGGCTGCGCTCCAGGGCCTGGCCACGCTCAGGCGGAGGCCCCGCAGGAGCTTATCCACTAATGAATGAATGAGTAAACGGAAGGTGAGATTCTATGCCACACACACTGGGCGCCCTTCCGGGAAGAGCTGATTTATTCCAGGGGAACAGGTGTGCAGACAGCACGTGCCACCTCTCCGACCTCCTCTCACGCCATGTCCGCTGACCAAGCCTCACCTCAGGGACGAGCTGGCTGCTGGGAGAAGAGGAGCCAAATGACTCTTCCACCACCAGCTCAAGTCCCAAGAGCAGGAAATGTGGGGTCCTTCACATCCACCCACCCCCAGAGGAGCACAGCACAACCTCTGAGACCTGAAATCCCATCCAGGGCGATTGGGCTGGGGCGCTTTGGTGGCACTGTCCCCAGAAGCTCTGGGAACTTTCTCCCACCTTCCCCTTTCATTCTTTCAACAAACACTGAAACAGGAAAGACACAACCAAGAGAATCAAAGCACTGAGATCTCACACTGCTTCCGCACAGTGAGTCCTGGGAGGGTTGTCTTGTCCCATTGGGGCCCCTGGACTGCGCCCCAACTCGACGGCTGGGCATGGGGGTCTGGGAGAGGTGGGGCATCCCCGCAGAGCTCAGGCCGCGGCCCGCCCGGCCCCGCCCCTACAAGACCGGAGGTCCCGCCCCTCCCCGCCCCCAGCACTGGCCCCGCCCCACTCAACCGGCGGCCCCGCCCTGCCGTGGCCCCGCCCAAGACCCGCCCCCCGCCGGGCCCGCCCCTCCAGCCAGAGGCCCAGCTGCGCAGAGCTGCGGCCGCGGACACCGGGCTGGTTTTAATAAAGTTGAAAAGAAAAGGATGAAAAGGAGCTGAAACCGAGCGGCCGGACCGCAGCCCCGCGCGCGGGGCGGGGGCACTCCGGGCGCCGTGACGCCGGCCAGGACTTCAAAGAAGCAATTACCCGGGTCGGGCGGCGGGAGGCCGGGGAGGCGGGGCGGCGAGATGGGGAGGGGCGCGAGGGCGAGGCCGGCCGCGAAGGGGAGGCCGGAGGAGCCGGGGAGGCCCAGCGCCCGCCGCCGGGCCTGCCGGCCCTCCCCACGGAAGCACGCGCGGGCGGGGCGCGCCGGGTCGTCCGTTGAGTGGCGCGGCCATTGTGCCGGCGCTGTGAGCGGCGACACGCTCAGAGACCGCTTCCCGGTGACGTCTCAAAGGGCCTTTGACGGGGAGCCCCTGGCGGGAGGGCTCACCTGCAGAGAGGCTCTATTGAGCCTTTGAAAGCGCAGCAGCTGCCAGGGGCTGTCGGCGGGGCACCTTCGGGGACAATGAATGAGAGGCCACTTGGAAACAGCAGGCTTGTGCCAAGCCCGCAGGCTGGGAAAGAAAAGTGCTCTTCATCAGCGACTCAGGGTTTGAAGGGGACTCTTTCTCAGCCCCGGCGCCCTCATGTGCATGACAAAGGGGCCGCGGGCGCAGGCCGCAAGGCGACAGTCCCAGCCGGGCAGCGGTTCGCTGAAGTGTGGCAGGTCGATCCCGAGGTGGAGCCCGGCCCTGCGCCCGGCGGTGACCAGGGCCTGTCCGGGTGCTTCTCCTAGCCCCACGCTGGGGCGCTCTGGCCGGGAAGCCGAGGGTCTCCCGAGAAGAAGGCAGAGCCAGCCCTGGGCACAGCTAGGCAGGGCCTGCGGCTCTCGAGTCACCCCCCGTCTCTGCCCAAACCAGAACCTCCTGTCCAGTAACCAGAGGAGAATTTGAAGTGGGGGAGCCCTTGAGGCCACAACACCCTGAAGAAGAAAGCCAGGTTTTCCTTCCGTCCCCTGAGGTTGCCCTTGGGATTGATCAAGGTCAGGCAAGTGGCTTTCTGAGGCCCAGAGGGGGGAGGCTCTTCTGTACCCTGAGCTTGAGGGAGGGGAAAGCAACCTCCGTCCCCCAACACACTTAATAGACCCCCA